CACAAAAGAGAGACTATTTTGGGGGGGATTGATGTGATGTTTTCATAGTGTTGTGGACCAGGTTAGAGATAGTAGATAAGTGGCTTGGTGCCACAGAGTCTGCATTTCGTTATGTCAAAGGAGATTACTGATGTTTAAGATAGCATGATTGATGGACAGGATATACTGACTTGGGGTAAAGGGTAATAACATCAAAGAAGGGAGTGCCCATTGATGGTTAACAGATGTGGGTGAAGAAACGTGTAACATAGTGTATATAAGCTGAGAGAATGTCTTTGTTCTGTAGTTCGGAATAGCAAGAGGCAGAGCTCTGTCCTTCTGTTATAACGAACTATGATACCTATTAAATATTAAATGAACTTCCCAGCTAAGTGTTAAATATCTCCTTGCATCATGAATTACTTGATACCCTAGAAACTCATCATAACACTGAGCATATGAGGATGAACACAGAGGGAGAAACATGACAGTGCTGCTCGGGGCAAAATCTAACTCACTAGAAGGACCTTTCCATAGTAAAAAGCTGTTGTTTCATAATAACCCCTCTGAGCATGGCACAAAAGTAGATCATATGTTGTGTAGAACTTAGTTGTATTTTTAGTTTCCAAATTAAACTTTTAAAAGTTTTTCCCAACATGTGAGTCTCTCCCCCACTTGGAGTAGTAGTACATTGGTATTATCTACTAAAGATATTTACACTTTGAGGTGAAAGGTCTCCAGTCCTTCAGATTTAAAGATAGTAGTAGTAGGAGGACAAATAAACCAATCCAGTCACTGATCTTAATTGAATATATTGTGAATGTTTTCGAGAAATAAACATGCACAACACGAGAACCATGCATTTTTAAGCATATGTAGCTACTTTCTTATTTTATTTAAAATTATACACAATACATTTCAGTGACTGTCTTCTAGCTGACTTAATACAGCAAATATTTTGTTTCATGAAGAAGGAACCTTGTTCAAGTGTTGGAGTGTCACCTCACCAGCTGTAGTGTGAGTCACCTCTTATGTTTGTGTAGTGGGTTTGACATCACTGCATGATGCTCTTTCTAATAAACCTGACAGTCCCAGTCCGTGTAATGCCATGCTATGTAGTTGTGAGCATCTTCGAGTGGATTGGTACTGTATATTATGCCCATGGCATATATTTACATTTACATTTTAGTCATTTAGAACCAGCGACCTTTCGGTTACTGGCACAATGCTCTTACATAATATTATAATATTATGCTTCTTGTGAATAAATCTTATTTTATTTTATTAGTGTCTATCTTTTATTTAATTTTAAACTTTAATTTAGAAGGCTATTTTATAGATGAATTAGGACAGGGCTCAAATGAGCTCAAGTAAATTGAGTGTCTCAACCTTTATTTATTATTAGACAAAATATATCAGGTAGATATGTAAGATATATCACATTACTGGATAACTTTTTCTGTGTTTTAGATTGGCATATCTTTGGGACACACTTGGAGCCAGGTGGACATTGGTCAGTTCAGTACTTGACAGCTGGAGGTTCGAGTCTGCTTGGCTATGGCATTACATGCTGTTCTCCATTAGTAATATCTGTTATTACATTACAATGAAGCTATTGTATCTTTATCTAGCTACCATTTTGTTAAATCTTTATGTCAGACTGTTTAATGTTACTCAGAACAATCCTATGCATAATTTTAAGGCTTTTCAGTGATTATTGTCTATTTTTCTCGGTTTCTAGCCTGGCTGACGTGACTCACGTGAATCACAGTGAGGTAGAGGCTGTTGGAAGTTGTAGTATTTGCACAGAGTTGTGCTTATTTCTGGCTGAGCTTTGATTGGTTATCTCAAAAGTTGTTTTTTTTGAGACCTCACGTTGTTTGGATTTTTTAAAATCCAACAGTGCCCAAACTGCTTGAATCAATGTTGTTTCACGTAATTTCAACCAAAACGAATCCATGTGATGACTGTGGAAAACTGATTGGATTTGAAAAAAGTCATTTAGTATTTTTTTACCCAACTTTTAACCTAAATCCAATGACGTGGTGCAATTTTTTTTAAATGTCACATTGAATTCACGTTAATTGACAACTCAACCAAATGTAAATTAGAACTAGATGTTGAACTGACGTCTGTGCCCAGTGGGTGGCATTGGAAGGGAGCAGCGCTCGGGGGCTGTGTGTGGTTGTCCACGTGGGTTTAAGTGAGAAAGGTTAATCAGTAAAAAAGTACATCCCCTTTTTCATTGACGCATTGTGCCGACAACATCAAAATAGACTTTCCAGACTCTGAAGTCAAGAGGACTTTGAGTTAGGTGTTTGCAGACTCCTCAGTTTCACCCTTTCCCAGACAATAAACCTGAGTACAAATGGATATCCTGTCTCCAGAGTCTCTATTAGGTTGAGGTGTTTAGCTGCCTGTCAAATTATACTCAGAGAACAGAACAGGTACCAGCAATTGTACACTTACATTTCTTTTTCACATTTGTTTTATTGAAGAGAAATTCTAAAGTTTGGTCAAATACACACTGCTCAATAACAACACCATCACAGAATACATAAATCAGTTTTAATATATCAGTTTTAATACATAAATAAACATGAATACACACATTAATAAATATTCCTTTCAGGTAACTTATCAAATAAATTATATGTGTTAACAGAAATGTAACATATCAAATATTACAACATATTACAACAGTTACATATTTTCATATAAGAGATGAGGGAGAGAGATAAGGGGAAAAAATCTGGGGGAGACGATGGTGAGATGAGGGAGAGAGGATGGAGAGATGAGGATGGAGAGATGATGGTGAGAGGAGGGGGAGAGGATGGAGAGATGATGGGGAGAGGAGGGAGAGATCAGGGGGAGAGGATGAATTTTGCATTTTTAATGGCTGCAAGCCCAGGAAATCAAAGCACACAGCGGATCCGGAATATTCTGGTGTATCAGGAGAAAGTGACTCCGATCAGCTTTCTTCTTGGAAATGTAGGGCAGAACACTTGATGCATGTTTAATGTAATCAATCAATCACATTTTATTTATGAAGCCCTTTTTACATCAGCAGATGTCACAAAGTGCTATACAAAAACCTAGCCTTAAACCCCAAACGGCAAGCAATGCAGATGTAGAAGCACATGTCCTTTGCAATAAAAAAAGAAAGTTGCACATTCATCTCTTCTTACTTGTGGATTTATTACCAACGATTCGTCTCTGTAGCCTTCATCCCATTGTAAATCCACAAGCAAGGAGAGATGAGTATGTAACTTTCTTTTTTCATTGCATAGTTATTCTTCCATCAGTAAGCACCTCACTTTGAGGGTGTGCAGTCTTTCGTTCCTTTTTCATTTATGTAATACATGTCCTAACCATAAGAGGTCAGCATTACAGTGTTCATGGCAGCGAGTTTTGGTCCCCCTGGATAAAAGCTCCTAGGCCCCTCAGTGTACTGTACCCCATCGCAGCTGGGAGAGATTGAAAACTTCTGATTAGAACTCTCTAAGTCAGTTTTGCAGTACCCAGACTGCTGGACTATAAAGCGCGTTGGTTACACTTTCTTTGACAGTGTCACTGCAACATGAACACGAAGGGTCACGTCATAGTGTAACTCAGTTGGTAGAGCATGGCGTTTGCAATGCCAGGGTTGTGGGTTCGATTCCCACGGGGGGCCAGTATGAAAAAAATAAAAAAATAATGTATGCACTCACTAACTGTAAGTCGCTCTGGATAAGAGTGTCTGCTAAATGACTGAAATGTAAATGTAATAGTGAAACTGTCAAATGAAGTGTAACCAACACTTTCATTGAAAGTGCTTTTTAGTCCAGGAATAGGTTTACCATAATGTGTCCCTCTAACTCAAACATCTACAAGTGTTCCTCTCTAAACCACTTTCCCGCTGCAGACTCTGATCTCATTGTTCCAAACAAGGTTTGGCTGTTGGGCTGATGGTATTTAAGCCCTAAGGCAAAGCTAAACAGAATTCCTGGAGTGAACGAGATGTTTACCAGTTACTGTTGTAGAACGTGTCATTTCCAGGACTCCTGCTGGATTATCTGGTATTTCTTGGCAAAATATCATAGCTATGACACAACAAGAGAGAAGAAAAGTAGTCTCTACTTCCGACTGTTGAGTAACAAATGGTTTGAGTTCAATTAATTTTTTGCTGACGTGTCATGAGGAGAGAGGTTAGGCCTGCGTCTTGAGGAATGTCATCTATTACACACAGTATGTGGATAGGGGTGCGTCTATGCTTACTGTTTGTGAATAATTGTGGGGGGTGGTTTACATTTGCAAACTACATTTTTATCCTTTCCTTGTAATGTAGTTTGACCTACAGTACCAGTCAAAAGTTTGGACACACCTACTCATTCAAGGGTTTTTCTATATTTTTACTATTTTCTACATTGTAGAATAATAGTGAATACATCAAAACTATTAAATAACACATCATGTAGTAAACAAAAAAGTGTTGAACAAATCAAAATATATTTTGTATTTGAGATTCTTCAAATGGCCACCCTTTGCCTTGATGACAGCTTAGCTGCTCACCAAGACCTTAACTAGCTGAACCAGGAACTCAGATGGAAAGGGATGATGTGGATAGGAAAGGATACATAATTTGGCCAAGAGCACATTTTATTTATTTTCTTTGTACACAACTGCTTTATACAAAAAAAACAAGGATATAATTATATATATTTTTTATAAACAAAGTACATCAAAAACACAGATTCCCCAAGGACTACATGGTAGTAACTGCAGATACATCCATGCTTCAAAGACGTAGTCAATGCAACGGGTTGGTTCTTAGTTTTATAAATATTTGTTTCGATGCGTGAAATATTCCTGAAGTTGTCAAAGCTGTACAGCTAGCATTTTACTCAGGTTATTTGACCCATCTGAAATAGTAGTGTGTGTGTGACTGCGTATGCGCAAGCATGTCTGTTTGTGTCCATGGCGTGTGTGTGTGTCCGTGCGTGGCCTTGCGTACATCTGTGTAGGTTTGCTGCCGTTTGCTGACTGTGTGTGTGTGTGTGCGTGTGTGTGTGTGCATGTATGTGTGTGTGTGTGTGTATTTGTGTGTGTGTGCTGAAGCAACCCCTGACTTCAGGCCTGGTTCTAGACAACGATGGACGTGAGGTGTCTGAAACACATGATGACGTCCAGAGGGACAGGAGGACTCAGGTGGTTCCCATCCAGACGCAGGTACCTGGTGGGTGTCAATTAATCAATAAATCAATAAATCAAGCAAACAATCAAGCAATCAATTGATCGATCAATCATTAAATCAATCAATCAATTAAACAATATTTCAATTAAACAATCAAAGACACAATCAATTAATCAACCATGCCTATTGCGTTGTGTATATGAAGTTATATTACCTGAGTCTGGGAATCAGAGCCTCATCAGTCAGACTCTCAGAGGACAGACTGAATGGACACAGCTGGGTCCCGTTAATACCTGACACAGTTAAATACTTTATTTGAATCCACCAATCAAATTGACATTAAAAAAGGATCCAAACATTTCAAAGGTCCTTGTATGCATGGACACTCAAGGGTACAGAAAGCAAAGCACCTCCTTCTCCAAACAGCTTGGCTGCTGAAACAGAGCAATACCTAGCCAACACACACGCACAAGTTACTCACTCAATTCTGTTGTGGTTATGTTAGCTACTTATGGTTGTATTGCCATTGTGTGTTACTCATTAGTAATGCTGTTATGGTTGTGATGTAGTTGTGGTCATGATATGTTGTGTTACTTACTCTCGAAGGTGTTGTGGTTGTGTTGTGGTCATGTTACGGACCTTAGTTCAGTCTAATGTTAAGCTACTCACTCTCGATGCTGTTGTGGTTGAGGTGCAAGTGCACCAGCTGGGAGTTGAACAGGGGGACAGAGGTGAGCTGGTTGTGGGCCAGGTGAAGGTCTAGCAGAGTGGATACATTGAACACAGCCTTAGGGATTCCCTTATCACTCAGCTGGTTGTAGTTGAGCCTCACAAACGCCAGTTTGGAGAAGCCTTGGAAGTAGTCCCTGTATGGGGAAGACAAGTGGGTTTAATAGAGGGTTCTTAGTGTAGCACCCTCATGTATTATCAAGGTTGTTGAAAAAATATATATATATTCCAGGTGCATCGAGGATAGAGAGTTCAGCACAATGTCATTAATGATTTACTGTATGTCACACCAATGTTTCAGTCAATAGATCATGCGTGTGTGTGTATGAGTGAGCGTGTGTGTGAGTATGCACGCTTGCATGCCTGCCTCGTGCGTGCGTGCCTGAGTGTGCTTACTTAGGGATGTCGTCAATGTTGTTCCTGTCCAGGAATAGCTGTGTGATGCCATTGGGGATGTTAGCTGGCATCTTCTTCAGGATGTTATGGGCCAAGTTCAGCTGAACCAGGTTCTTCAGGTCTTTAAACGTGTTCTTCCCCATGTCACTGTCACTCAGCTAAACACAACAGAGAACACATAAAGAGAATACACAGTGTGTGTGCGTGTGTGTATATATGATTGTTTGTATACGTTTCTGCGTGCATGCATGCATGTTTGCAGATTTGTGCGTGTGAGTGTGATTGATTGGTTGCACATTTGTGTGTGTATGTATGTGTGTGTGTGCTTGCTTGCTTGCATGGATGTGTGTGTGTACCTTGTTGTGGTGCAGGTCGAGCAGAGAGAGGTGCTCCATCTTGCCGAAGGCTCCAGAGGGGATCTTGGAGATCTGGTTGTGGCTGAGTCTGAGCTGCTCCAACCCAGCTGGCAGGTCATTAGGAACCTCCTTCAACTGGTTCCTCTCCATGTAGAGAAACAACAGACCAGGTACCTTCTCAAACGTCTGAAAGAGAGAGACAGAGCGCGAGACGGACAGACAGACATATAGCGAAATAAAATATTAAGAAATATTCATGAAAATAGCTGAATACATTACTAAATAAATAAAATACTAAAGAAATATAAAGAAAAAAGCTCTCACCTGCTTGTCCACTTTTTTGATGCGGTTGTTGGCCATGTTGACCCATCTCAGCTCTGTGGCATTGTTGAAGGGTTCCGCCGTTACCTCGGAGATGTAGTTGTTCTGCAGGTACAGGTAGTGTACTCTCGAGGGGATCACAGGGACCGTACGTAGGTTCCGGTTCTCACAATAGAGGGCATTGGGGAAGGAGGGTGGGCAGAAACACTCCCGGGGACAGTCAGGGAACATGGAAGGGGGGCCAAGGATGGGAGGGGGGAAGTCTGTGGGCTCCTGGGGTTCTGGTTCCTCAGGTTGTGGGGCAGGCTTGAAGTAGGGGCGCTTGGTGGGCTTTGGAGGCTTAGCAGGTTTCTTAGGCCTTGGTCTCTGGCAAAACACTGCCCCCATCAGGAGACAGAGCACCAGGGCAGTGTAGATTCCCACACCTGTCTTCATTGTCCTGGATGGAAAGAGCGGATGAGGAGGAGAGAAAGACAACGTGAGAGAGGGGGTGGAGGAGAGAGATACATACTGTATGTAAGAAAATGTAATACTATACAAGGGGTAAGAAAAGGGTTATACCACATTTGACATTTGGTAAAGCACCAGATTTCAGGAGATAATCCTTTATGCAGTATGACTGTGTTTCTAAATGATTTGTGATGCATCTACCAGTAGGTCTTCTAAGTTATGAAGGCATCATTATGCCCTAAATGTTATCAAGTGGTGGATTGCTTGCTAGTAGCCACTAGTCATATTTTCCTCTAGCCTTTTGCAGGGGTTTTGTAAGCTGCTTATATGAAGGCTGAGTTGAGTGCAGTGACCTGTGCAGGCGAAGGACACAGACATTTTTTTTATTTTATTTTTTTATTTCACCTTCATTTAACCAGGTAAGCCAGTTGAGAACAAGTTCTCATTTACAACTGCGACCTGGCCAAGATAAAGCAAAGCAGTGCGATAAAAACAACACAGAGTTACATATGGGGTAAAAAACATAAAGTCAAAAATACAACAGAAAATATATATACAGTGTGTGCAAATGTAGCAAGTTATGGAGGTAAGGCAATAAATAGGCTATAGTGCAAAATAATTACAATAGTATTAACACTGGAATGCTAGATGTGCAAGAGATTATGTGCAAATAGAGATACTGGGGTGCAAAATAGCAAAATAAATAACAATATAGGGATGAGGTAGTTGGGTGGGCTAATTTCAGATGGGCTGTGTACAGGTGCAGTGATCGGTAAGGTGCTCTGACAACTGATGCTTAAAGTTAGTGAGGGAGATAAGAGTCTCCAGCTTCAGAGATTTTTGCAATTCGTTCCAGTCATTGGCAGCAGGACTGGGAAGGGAAAGGCGGCCCCAATGAGGACATGGTTTTTCATTTCATGTCTGGATTTAAGCTTAGCTTTTCCTTTCAAATGTTATAAGAGGGGAAGAAGGAGGGGGGCTGGTGAGAAAGGTGGGATGGGGAGGTATGGGGAGGGGGACGAGAGGGAGAGGGCGAGGGAGGGAAGAGGGAAGAGAGAGGTGAGAGGAGGAAGAGAAGAGGGGTACAAAGAGAGAAGTTAGAGAGGGAGGGGGGAAGAGGGAGAGAGGATAAGAGATTGAGAGGGGAGAAAAAGAAAGGGAGGGGAGCGGGGTGAGTTGAGTTAGAGGGAGGAGAGTGGGAGAGACAAAGAGAAGTAGAGAGGGAGCTCAAGGATAAAGCCTCCATTGTGTGTGTTGGTCCGGGGGGGTTTCTTCCTATGGGGGAAAAGAGGGGCTGGATGCCGGATGGGCTGTTGCCCAGGAGTGGCTGGGCCTGGAGCCAGATAGGGTGTTTCTTCTGGGACTCCACCCCTTTATACATTGCCGAACTCTCCGGGGTGCTTACTAACAACTTTTAAAACAGTGAGGTTGCCTCACCCAAGGTTTTTCCCCGCCGGTCATCTTGTGTTGGTTTCGCCAGAATTTTTTTCCCCTAAGTGGACGGCCCGGGAAAACGAAGCAGCGGGGCGAAGAGAGAAGGGGATTTGCGGGAAAAAGGGGGTGGTCGAAAAGGGGGGGTGGAAGGGTTGGTTGTTAAAAAAAGAGAAAAAGAAAGTAAAAAGGGGGAGAAAAAAGGGGAAAAAATAAAAGGGAAAGAAAAAGGAAGAAGAGGAGAAGGAAAAGAGAAGAGGGAAAAGAGGAAGAAAAAGAAGTGAAAGAAAGAAAAGGGGAGAGGGGAAGAGGAAGGGAGGAGGAGAGAGGAGAAAAGAGAGAGAGAGGGAGCTAAAAGAAAAGCTCAGTGGGTGGCAGGGGGGAAAAAGGGAGGGGGAAAAAGGGGGGATGGGGGAAGGATGCCGAGAGGTGGGGGGGAAAGGGAGAGGGAAGGAGGGAGGGATAAAAGAAAAGAAGGGGGACAGAGAAGGGGAAAACGGCAAACCCTAACAATAAGCATGGTAGGGAGGCGAAAGAAACGGGCATCGCTCTCGCTTAAAAAACCCCACGCACCCAAAAAATTTTAAAAAGGGAATCCAATAAGAGAAAGGGGTTAAAAAAAATTTTTCTTATAAGAAGGGACGAAGGAAAAGAAAGAAGAGAGAAAGAAGAAAAGGGAGAAAAAAGGAAGAAAAGGAGGGGGGAGAGAAGGAGAGAAAGAGAGAAGAGAGGAAGAGAGAAAAGGAGAGAGGAGAGAGAAAGAGAGAAGGAGAGAGAAGAAAGAGAGAAAAAAAAGAAAAGAAAGAAAAGGAGAGAGAAAGGAAACCGAATGGAAGAAAAAAGACAAAAGAAAAGAGAAAGAGAGAAGAGAATAAAAGAGAAAAAAGGGAAGCCAAAAAAAACCCCACCCAGCAAACACCCCCCCCACAAAAAAAAAATCGATCTCGTCCTCTCCTCTCTCTCCTCTACTCTCTCTCTCTGTCTCTCTCTGAACACCCAGAAGACCACTGCATAACAGAGGAAAAACAGTCATGGGTCATTCGTTTGTAGCTATTTTCCTGGTCACTAGGATACATCTGGTTACTGTGATTCTGACCCAGGGATTTCTATGTGAAACTGTGACTACTGGCAAAAAGACAAGGTGTTATGGGTCAGCATCTTACAACAGTGTGGGATTGACTGTGTGTTTCTATGCTTTGTTTGTTGTGAGAAAGGCTTATTGACAGTATTTGAACTGAGTATGTCCAGGCAAGGAAAAACAGCTCTGAACTTTCCTTCCTTTCAAACTAATCGTGCTCCCTGGCAAGGCTACTCAGGCCAGAGTGTAATTTCACTTTTCCTCTCTCAGTAGTCCAGAATGCCAACAGCCGTCATGGAGACGTCAGGACTTCAGTACAGAGAGTTAGTGCTGTTGTTAGACAACAAGAGAGAGATGACAGTCTGGAGTTCACCTATACCATATTCACAGCTAATCTGCGAGTTAGGGTTGTAAGTCAACAAGAGAGACAACACTCCAATATTCAGGGTTCAGCACACCTGGGTCACAATTGTGTTAGAGTTGCCCACTTGCTCCAAGTTCATCCTGGAAAGATTATAAGAATCCTTCAGCTTTATTAACTTTTTCATTATGGATTTCATTGAGGCACGATAAAATCTCCCGGAAAAGCTTTACTGCTCTCCCGGACAGAAGGGTTGGCAACTCTATTGAGAGGAGAACTAAAGGCGAGTCAGAAATGTGACTGGTAACACGTCAACTTTACTGGGCTTTGACTCACCTGAAGCATTTAAAACGGTCATAAATAGATAAAGTCATGTTTCCTAACCACAACAACCCTGCAGGATTTAGATCCCTCCCAAGATGGCCTGGCTGTGATGCCCCTTTTGGAAAATAATGAGAAAGACAGAGCAGGGTCTGCAGACAAGCAAGGGAAAACGTTGGACTGTCTGCACTGTTAAGCCTGCTTGAGATGGCAGGCAGATGTATAGCCTGGCTGTCTAAACTTCTGGGTGACCCACATTTTTAAGGAAATATTGCCAGCTGTCAAATAAGAAACTATCAGTTGTTTTGGCAGAATGATATAGATGCTTTATAGCAAGTATTAGACAACAAATACATGTTGTTCGAACAACAATGATCCATCTTCACAATGTTCTGAATTCTTGTCAATAATGAATGACAGAGTTTTATTGTTGTGTAGAAACACAGAGATCCAATCCAACTGAACCAGACCACAGCCCATTATGAAGGAATGAACGTTCCTGAGATGTTTCTGGAGATTTCAGAAAGCTCCTCCTCTATTTTCGAAGACATTGATCAACAATAATCTGCATATAATTGTGACCTGCCAATCCTAGAAGCTATACCTAGTCTACACATGTGACATGTGGCAGAACAGTCCTCTGAAGCACCTAGAGACAGACAGACAGACAGACAGACAGACAGACAGACAGACAGACAGACAGACAGACAGACAGACAGACAGACAGACAGACAGACAGACAGACAGACAGACAGACAGACAGACAGACAGACAGACAGACAGACAGACAGACAGACAGACAGACAGACAGACAGACAGAAGCACAGACAGACAGAAGCACAGAGAGACAGACATACGTCTTGAGGAACACCTGGACAGTTGTCAAGCCCTATGTGATGTAAAGCATAGCGCTGTAGATGGTAGAGTGATATAGTCTCGCCTGCACCAGCCATAAGCCAGACTGTGAAAAAGATCAACTTCGCATTCTGTTCAGTCCATTAGCCACCCAGTACTACCCTTCCATCAACTTGAAACAAGAAATCAGCATGATTAGCTGAACGAAGGTGAAATGGATAGGTGTGTCACTATTTGTCTGAATGTCACAGAGCAGCAGTGTTCTAGAATCTGCTTTGTGAGAGAACTTTAGCAGAAGCAACAAGCATTCCAGAAGCAACAAGCGTTCTAGAACAAGCTCACTCTCTGGGAAGAGATTTCAGTACCGCTCTTATTCAGCGTCTCTATAGAAACACACACTGTCAGGCTCTGTTCACGTCCGCCTCTCTGCCAAGACACGCACATACACACAAACACACACACACACACACACACACACACACACACACACACACACATACACACACACACACCTCACACATTCTGAGACACACACACTCTCTCCTGGCCTCGCTTTGTTTACATGCTGTTATCGAGCGTGTCACATCTATAAGCACCCCCCCTGGAGAAAAGAAACAACAAACAATGTCTTACCTGCCAATGGTACCTGCCCTCTTTTATCAAATCGAGAGTTTTCTGTGTCTCTGCTTTTTGTCTCTCCCACCCTTCTCTTACCCCTCCCTCTCTCTCCCCCTCTCTCTCCCTCCCTCTCTCCTTCTCTGTGGACAAGCCTCCTATTGGGTTGGTTCCCTGGCTATCTTTCCCTCTGAAGGGGGGAAGAAGTGTGAGACGAGCGAAAGAGACCGAAGAGGGAGCAGCGCGAACGAGAAGAAAGCGAAGGAGCAGAGAGCTATCTCCTTACGCTCCTCTCTATCTCTCCCTCTCTCCTCTCCTCTCCTCTATCTCCTCTCTCTCCTCTCTCCTCTCACTCCCTCCTTCCCTCTCACTCTGGCCCTCCACAGCAGAGATCAACATTTCATCTCCACTCCCATCCTGTTGAAGGAGGATGTATTCTCACCAGACTCAGTGTATATAGTCCAGGATTAGGTTTACTCTGTGTTCTGGAAGCTTTGTATTATGTGAGGTGGTTTATCGCACAGAGCAGCTGTTTGGTTAGTGCAATGGGGAGACTTATTTAGTGTGTGTGTGTTCACGTGCGTGCAGTCATGCTTATGTGTGTGTGTCAGGCTGAGGTTACAGACACGTTAGCAGTACATTCCTGCAGAATCTGAGCAGCATGCAGCTCAGGGTAACGAGGAGAACACATGTGGAGAACTGTTTCACACACCCCTTCCTCTCCCTCACTCTCTAACTCCCTTGCTCCCTTGCTCCATCCATCTCACCCCTTCCTCTCTCTCACTCTCTCATCCCTCCGCTTCTCCCTCTTTCTCACTCCCTCCCTCTTTCCTCCTTTCGTTCACCCCTCCATTTCCACCTCCTTCCCTCTCTCCATCACCCCTTCATTTCCACCTTCCCTCTCTCCATCACCCCTTCATTTCCCCATACTTACTTTTACTGTACCCTACACCCATATTCCAACTATAACCCCCACTGTTACTGTTTCTGCATCCTATACCCACTATATCCCCACTATTCCAGTGGTGGACACTACAGCAGCTGTTTTCCAACCATAGGCCAGTCATAATCAGGCCAGCCAGGATGAGGTAGTCTGGGTAAAAGTGCTGCAGGAACGTCCTGTTCTGTCATTTAGAAGATGACTGGATTGATTCCACTGTTTAGGCCTCAGAGCCCAGAGCTGAAGAACTTAGAGTCCCAAATGGCACCCTATTCCCTATTTAGTGCACTACTTTTGACCAGGGCCCATAGGGCCATTTGCGACTCAAGCCTTCGAGTCTGTTGGGCTAGAGCCAGAGACCTTAGAGATGCTTGTCTATGGAAAAACACACTGACTGATCTACAGCCAACACTGCAATATTCCCACTGTAACGGCAGTACACAGCAATGTGCCTGCACACTGGATACAGCTTTACAAGAACATAGGACCGTGCTTAATGTTTATTACCAAAGTATCATCAATTATGTTAATGGTAAATAAATGATATGTTAATAAAGCGTAAACATTCCCCTTCATCACTCCCAAAGACACAGAACTGACATATTTATGGGGCTATGAAATTAAAGTTAACAGTCTAAATCAGAACAGCCATCAGATTTACTGCTGAACAGGTAAGTATGCATGCTGTTGGCAGTCACAGTGTTTAAGGAAGAAGGCTGGAGACGTTAGTTATCTCAATCAATCAAACTGTATTTCCACAACACAACATTTTACAAAGTAATTTATAATGTAATGTTCATCAAAACCCTGGACCTGAACTAGCAAAACATTTACCGAAAAAGAGAGGCTAAAGGGGAAAACAGCGGCGACGGGAAGAACCAGACTCTAGGGAGCCAATGAATTGGGACCCAATGGCCAACTGGGCATTAGATGGGAGTGATGCCAGGCACGTGCACAGATAGATGTCTAAGCTTGCCTGAGTTCCTGCCCTTTTGACTGTTTGTTAGTAGCCCTGAGAGGCAGATGTCAGCAGCAGAGCAAACTACAATCACAGGTAAAGACTAGATAGACTGTTTCAACAGAATAGCTAGCTAATTAGCTGATTCTGCATTCGCTATGATCAGCTGATAGCCCACCCCTCTTTGCCCTCTCTTTCTTAAAGTGGGATGAGTGTGATTTTGCAGAAAATAAAGGTTTATGGAAAAAATATATGTTGAAATTTGGCAACAGGAACATTAGATAATTCGTTATGAATCTAAGAAATGTAAGTCAATGTTTTTTTGGGGGAGGGGTGCCCTTTTTTTCACTTCGAGCACCTGTCCCTCGAAAGGTCTGTGCACGACCCTGAGTGATTCCATTCAAAAGCACTCAAAGAATGGTAAAGGCTAACAAAAAGTTTGGAACCAACATCAAAGCCCATACGCGTGCAAGATGGGTGATTCTTTGCTGAGCCTGCTGATGTACCTCCCACTGCAGCTCATCCATCTATACCACAGCCAGACAGAGGGGCCAGCCATGTAGGAGGATACCTAAAGCCTTTAACTGACTTACTAACTCACTTAATTCACTTCATTTCTGGAGGAACATAGGGCTTGACCTAAAGTTTTCCAATTCCGCAGGTCTTTCTGGCTGCTTCCTTTGCCTCTGGCCATGACAAGTGGATCTTCTTGAGTTCTACGTTCAGACATCTAGGCCAGGTCTTCTGCTGAAGGCTGTAAGACAGAAAATAACTCTTCATGTGCCTCGTATCAGGAGCTAACCAGAGCCAATCAGTCATCCCTCATATTATATCAGACACAACCAGACCATGACCTAGAGCAGTAACACAAGATTAATGATCAGACAAATAGACAGACAGACCTAGAGCAGTAACATGATAATACAGGTAACTGCCAAAATAAAGGAAAACACCAACATAAAGTGTTGGGCCACCACATGCAGCCAGAACAGTTTCAATGCATCTTGGCATAGATTCTACAAGTGTTTGGAACTCTATTGGAGGGATGCAACACCATTCTTTCACCAGAAATTCCATAATTTGGTGTTTTGTTGATGGTGGTGGAAAACGCTGTCTCAGGCGCGCTCCAGAATCTCCCATAAGTGTTCAATTGGGTTGAGATCTGGTGACTGAGACGCACACACGCGCACACGCGCACACACACACAAACACTTTAAAACCCCTATGATCCTTTGAGACCCCTCTTTCAAAGTCACTCAGATCTCTTCTTCTAGCCATGGTAGCCAAAATAATGGGCAACTGGACATACATGACACTAAGCATGATGGGATGTTAATTGCTTAATCAACTCAGGAGCCACACCTGCTTTCAATATACTTTGTATCCCTCATTTACTCAAGTGTTTCCTTTATTTTGGCAGTTACATGTAGACCAGACAGAGCAGTAACACACGATAGTAGATACATTTTCATGTAGATGTCTCATTAATATTGATGCATGATTTACGTGAAAGTCAGAGTTATGCTGGCGGATCTCCAATCAGAATTCAGCCCAGACTGCAGAGGGTCATGCTCCATTTCACTTCTCCAAGGCTCTTATCTTCAGCTGACTCTTACATAAGACTACCATCCACTTGACAGGTGTGCTGATCTGGAGAAAGGATTAGTTCCTCAAAATTGCTATAACTGCTCTCTGTCACACACGACAACAATCTACACAGTTCAAACACACACCAGCTAACAACAAACGTTCCCACAACTGTAGAGAACGTTCCCTTAAGAGTCTCATTAGGTCATTAACTTACTTTTTCATAGGAATGTTCCCGTGATGTGCAAGGAATGTTTCCAAGAGACCATTCCCTTAATGTCAATTAGAACTTATCCAAAATGTGGTTGCCAGAATAAAGTATATTAATGTTCTAGACATTCCAAGAACATTCATGTGTCCAGTTTTCTGTAGGTTAGGAGAATATTCCATTAACGTCCCACCAGACATACACAGAATATAGTTGCTATGTTCTCAGTATATAAGATATTAATGTTCTAGACACAATTCATGAGAATGTTGCAAGAACTTTCCTGTATCCAGTTTTGTGAGGGTTAGGAGAATATTCCATCAATGTCCCACCAAACATATACAGAACATGGTTGCCATGTTGCCATGTTCTCAGAATATTGTTCTAGAAAAGTTTCATGGGAACGTTACAAGAACATTTATGTGTCCCCCAAAAATGTCTTTGCACATCACGTCTTGTTACTGTTGCCGAGCCAATCAAGGCCCTGATTGGTGAACCACTGATTAGAGCCCTGAACCAAAGCCATGCCCGTGACGTTCAGGCCCTACCCTACCCAGGCCCGACTTCTTTTGGCAAATTTAAGGCCCTGCTCGAAACCCGAATTCCGAAATAACTTCCTCCGTTAGTAAATCCATTAGCTGCTCCTCTCTGTCTGTCACACGATCCCTGTGCGCAGCTATCTCTGCATGCACTCTGCTCAGCTCATGGCGGCTCTTCTGTCTGTGAGTATTCATAGCAACGACTCTGCTAGGGCTGCTCGGCTCAATGAAGAGACATAAGAGAGCAATTAGCTGTTAGCTACTTTTCATTACTCTATACTCAGATAAAACTCAAGGAACATTATCATTTTATGTTAAATAATCTTTCCTGTCTTAAATTTGATGAGGTTGAAGCACTTCTGACACCATGTTATGATCTTAGTCAGATATGACTGTACTGAGCAGCAGAGCACAAGCAATTGGCTCAGCTTCAAAATGTTAGTGATCAATTTAGTGATACCTGAGCCCTGCCCATACCATAGTTATTAATGAAAAAACAGGCCCTACACGGATGTATACTGTCAGGGCCCAGGTAGCAGAGCTCTATCACTGATCCATTCATAGCTCTTTGTCTGTTGTCAAGGTTAGGGATACTCACACAAACAGTGCTTTTAACATACAGTGTTTTCAACTGACATATTTGACACACGATTGCAATGTTCATGTATACAGTAATTATTATTCAACATGTCCTCACCTGGGATTTGAACTCATGGTTCAGAGTAATCCTCTCTTGCTGCTGCGCCACCATGTCCGTGTCCAGTATCAGTTAATCTGACTCTCATCATTAATTTTATTGACTTATTTCAGCACTTTAAGGGCTTTCTGTATAGTTGTCTAATGTTGGTGGGGAATATTAACCTGTTTTAATGATACTCCTGAATCACTATGATCAATAAAATATTTTCTTGAGTGTACTTTTAACAGAGCTGAGATTTACTTC